ATATATACCGCCATGTAAAAGCAAGGGCAGGAATTCAGCCAGAAATCCCCGGCACAAAGCTTTGGCCCTCCAGAAACAAAACCAACTGATTATATTCAAGTTACAACATAGTTAAAGGAACATCAGCCCACACAGATGAAAAAGAACCAGAACAAGAACTCTAGCAACTCTAAAAGCCAGAGTATCTTCTTACCTCCAAATGACTGCAGTATCTTCCAAGCAATGGTTTTTAACCAGACTAAAATGGCTGAAATGACAAATAGAACTCAGAATCTGGGTGGCAGTGAAGATCACTGAGTTCAGGAGACACTTAAAACATCCTGTATCTCTGCTCTTAGTGGGTTATTACACACGATTATTTTAATTGTGGTTATTCTTAAATCCAATTGTACCATATTAGTGCCAGTGCCTTGTTTATATCTGCTCTGTCTTGATACTGCTAACGTGTTAGATTCAGTTTGTCTTTTTCAACCTGAATCATTTCTCATCACTTATTTTAAAAACTCTTATTCAGGGGTTGAGAAATTTACAGTTCTGAGCCCAGTTGTCCTTGTCCTATCCGTCATAATAGCTGAATATGAAAGACCCTCTTAAATGGGTCAACTGACTGTTTAGTTCAGGGTGTTTAAGGACGAGAAAGAGAACTGATATGTTTGAGTACTAACAATGTGCTGTAGTTTACTAGATATTTTCATATACATTATCTGAGTTAATCTTCAATAGCATTATTACCCCTGTTTTATTTTTGGGAGGATGAAGGGATGAGCAGCAGCAGAGAGGAACTATCCTCTCTGCTAAAAGCTAAACACTGGTCAGCATGACCTGCCTACAGAGAGGAGTTACCCACTGAGGGTCTCCTCTGAGCTGTTCTAACACTCAATAAAGCTCCTCTTCATCTTGTTAAAAAAAAAAGAGAGAGAGATTGAGAGCTAGGCACTGGCCTCCGAGTGCTGCCGGTGGGTTAACAGGCTGAGCCAGTCTCCCATCGGCAGCATTTGGGTGGGGGCCTGATGAACTTACACGCAGCATTTCAACTCCTTTCCCCTGACAGAACCACAAAGCCACTCCTGCTCAGCATCACCATGACCATGACCCAAGGCCAGTAGCAAGGGCGTAAACCTCCATGACAAGCTGGGCTGCAAGGAACTGGACCTGAGCCTCAGAGACCTGAATGAACTCCAGGTGAAGGAGCTGGCTGCCCTTCCAAAGGCCACCATATTGTATCTGTCTTGTAATAAACTGACTACTCTACCATCAGGTATCTGTGGCTTCACATACCTTGTGAAGCTAGACCTGAGGAAGAACAAGCTGCAGCAGCTGCCAGCAGACTTCAGCCATCTGGTCAACCTCTAGCACCTGGATCTCCTCAACAACAGGCTGGTCACCTGGCCTGTCAGCTTTGCTCAGCTCAAGAACCTGAAGAGGCTGAACCTGAAGGATAAGCCCCTGAATCCCGTCCTGGCCAAGATGGCAGGTGACTGCTTGGATGAGAAGCAGTGTAAGCAGTGTGCAAACAAGACGTCACAGCACATGAAGGCCATGCAGGCAGATCAGCAGCAGGAGAGGTAGCCGCGGTTGGAAGTAGAGCATGAGGCAGAGAAGAAGCCTGAGGCCAAGCAGCGAGCTGAAGAAGCTCAGGAGTGGGAACTGGGGAAGTGGCAGAAGGCGGCAGAAAAGAAGCGCCGGCAAAAGGAGTACGATGACCTGAAAGCAGCCAAGAGGGAGCAGAAGAAACCTAAGAAGGAAACAGATCAGGCTCCGAAATCTAAGACCAGCTCCCGTCCCTGCAAGCCACCACCCTGGAAGCACACTCATTCCTGGGCTGTGCTGAAGCTGCTGCTGCTGCTACTGCTGGTCTTTTGTGCGGCGAGAGGGCTGGTTGCTTGTCGGGTGACAGAGCTGCTGCAGCAGCCCCTCTGCACCAGTGTGAACACCATCTATTGCAATGCAGTCCAGGGTCTACACCACCATGAGCTCCTCCAGTGGGTCTTCCAGACCGACTCTCAGCATGAAGCTTGTTCCCAGAACCTTCTGTCTCCCAGCCTTGGAGCTTGGATTCCTATGAAATTGAGTTCTGCTGGACACAACCTGTTTTTAGCATCAGACCTACCTGCCATCATCAAATGGCTGCAGATTGGTACATGAGTCTTCCTCTTTGTAGAACTTCTTCATTCCCTGGTGGAATGAGGAGAAACGGGAGGTAGCAGGAGGGCAGTTACCTGCATGCCTAAAGGAGTGGGCTTAGGGTGGAGATAGAGAAAACAGCCTTTTCTAGTTGTTTTACAAAGCTGTGTAAAGGCAAGGCTCATTTCTACTAAATGGTCAGTTGTCACTAGATTTATACTTTTGTATGCCACAAACTGATTCTTTCATTCTTCCCTGGGCAATCAGGGAAGATCAGGAGGAAGTTTTTGGGAACTAGAACACCACACTCAGTAAATCCAGTCTTAATTGGGTGGCGGGGGGAGTATTCCTGTTTTCTTTAGGACCTCAGATATATGAGCATATTAGCAGCCATAGAAAATCTCTGGCTGTGAAAGAGACTTCATGACCATCCAGTCCAATGTAACACTTGCAGGCACAGAAACTGAGGCCTTCCATGACTTTGCCTAGTCTCCCAGCTAGTTTGAGGCAAAACTGGATTCCCACTCTGGTGTTCTTTCTTTCTGTTACATCATTTTCCCTCATTTGTAATGTCCTGAGAGATTAGAATTCACACCAGAATTGATTATTTCTCAGGCAAAGCATACAATCTTTCACAGTAGACAGATTTCATGACTCAAAGAGAGAAATCCCTAGCCATCATCAGGTCTTGGGCAGTTCCTGTGACATCCTGCCCAACTTATGTGGCTTCCATAAAATGGCAACAGTCCATGCTCCTTGCCTCAATTTTAGAGCATTAACTCCCTAAATGCCAGTAAGCAAGGAGGTGAATCTCTGTAAACCTACACTGTCTATGACAGCTCTAGTTGTATTTGGTGTGAATAAATACCTCAAAGGCAACCTGCTTCTGCAGGTTTGGAGTGTCAGCTTCATAAGATACTGAGGTTTAGAATTGTTTGATTCTAGACCTTAACTGAAGGGAATAAATGGAAACAGAGGAAATGAAGGATCATGGAGCTGAGAAGTGGTACATCACCCAATGACTAGCAGAAACAAGGATCACACCATCCATTCTCTTGTCTGCTAGATTAAGCATTTTCTTGGCTCCTTTGCTTCATCTCTTCACCACAACTGGATGGAGGGATCAGAAATGGCTGTGTCATGGTGCTCATTCAGTGAAAACTCCCAGTTGCAAGCTCCTTGTCTCCCCTGGAGGGAGCAAGAACCTATCCTAGTTCAGAGATAGCCAGGGTAGGGTCCAGCCTTTTAGCTCTAGTGACCTGTTTGAATGGGACTGCCACTCATGACTGTCCTGATATTGGAAGAAAGGACTTTGTTAATCTTCTCCCCCATAGATCTGCTGTGTAGGTCTACACCTTACTCAGAATCACTACACATTCCTTTAGTCTTCCTCTAAGCTCCAGAGCCAATGGTACAAATGCTTTATTGAACTAAATACATAATATATACAATGAGATTAAGATAATATAGAAGGCTGCATAGTCATCATATCCCATACCTTGGCCAGTTGAGGCAGCTCAGTGGCTGAGCCCAGTCAAGCCAACTCGCAGCTTCACTCAGGGCTTCAAGATCTGATGCTAATTCTTTTGGACTTCTACAGTTATTAAATTTTTTGGCCAAAATCTTTTATTATTGAGACCCCTTTAAAACCACTTAATACAAGGGCAAAAGGAAAAGTTCAAAAGAGGAACAGAATGAGGACCCTTTAAAACATACATTCAAGTTCTTTTTTAAAGGCAGAAAGAAAATGAAGAGCAAACATGCCCTTAGTAGTGATCCAAAGACTCTGATTTGTTCTTGTAGGATTTTGGAGGTACCTTCCTTGGGAATCCAGATAGGATGTCAAATGTGTGGTGCCTTGTGGTTATAATTCAATGAAATAAAATTACAAAGCAGAGAGGGCTGGGCCAGTTAAGGGAATGCCACTTCTCACAGCACACATATACAAATATGAAGCTGCTGATATCGAAGATGATTTCCTACAATGTGGCCAGGATGGGAATCCAAGAAAAAGAGCTCTGCATCCTGCTGCCCCTCCCCAATTGAAGCATACCTCTCTCTTTGCTACCGTTACCTTCATAGTTTTGACTTAATTGCCAATGCTACAGGACCAACCTGAGTAATCTATCAGCACTTTACAATCCTCTCCTTCCAAACAGGGACTCCTGTGACAACACCATTTCTGAATCACAATGGAAACTTCCAACACAAGAAGGTTGAGCAGGAGTTGTGCCGGCCACCTGTCCCAGTAAGCAAAAGTACTCGACCATTTGGTACTGCTCTTCTATGGGCTTCCTACTGCAGCACCTGTGCATGGCAATCACCTCACAGGTCCTTGGCCTGTATGTCCCTGGAGGTGCTGGCTAGAGGCTGACAGCTTACAGCACACCATTAACACGTAGGCTAGAAAGAGCCAGTGCAATAGCAACACTGACTTAGCACAGAATCTCATCTTTGGAGACTTCTTAAGATTTGGTTCCAGTCAAACACAAATATTCCAGGGAGTATTTCAGAGTGACTCCAAATCAATTTCTAGCTACAGATGGGAATTTGAAGTCACTCTGAAATACACCCAAAAAATTATGGTAGCTCAGAAGACCTTGCCGCCTTACCCGCGGGCGTCCCGGGAGCGGCCCATCACCTCCACAGCCTCGCCAGCAGAAGGAAAGTTCCCACGTTTCTCCCAAGAGAAGCCTGAAGCTGCCGCGGCTATGGGCCTCCAGATGTTTGCCGGCAGCCACGCACCAAAGATGTTTATTTACTGATTTTTTTCTTTTGGAGCGAGCAAAAGGGACTGGGATTTGCTGGGTGCAGGGGAGGTTACCTCAGGGATGCCTGCCCGGTAGTGGGGTGGGGGTGGGCTGTACTTTAGAGAAAATCTCTGTTCTTCGGGCAGGCATCCGTGAATGCGGCTTGGACTCCGGCACAGGTCCTCGCATTGAAGTTTCCGGGTATGTTTTCCTTTTCCTCAGCTTCATGGGAAGGGGTCTCCAGTTCTCCCCGGAGTGCCTACATGGACCTCACTAGTCTTGGCATCACCCCGTACGGCCTCGGAGACACAAGCTCACTCCATCTTCTCTCGGGGGCTCGGCAGTGCCCCTGTGATCTTAATGGCTCCAGCTCAGACTCGCCTATTTCTCTTTCTCATCACTGAAGGCAGTGTTTGGATGCTGGAGTCCCTGGGCTTCGGAGTCCCAGGCAAGCCACTGCTTCGCCCACAGAGGAGGGAGGCCGTGGACTCATGGCTCAGTGAATTTTCACCAGACAACGCGCCTTGAGACCAGTGAAATCTTTCTGTGCCCCACTGAGGCCCTTCCCGCCTCTCTACATTGTAATCTCATTTTTGCTTACCTGGTGGGATCCGAAGAGGACTCCGGACAACACATCCGGCGCCCTGAAGCTCCTCCTCCGCCAGGAGCGGGAGCCGCAGCAGAAGACCATTCAATGAGGTCCTGAGAACAGGAGTCTTATGGGTTTGACCTGGGTCTTGCCCACGTCCCTTCCCCAGGCCTCCCCAAGCCAGCCACTTTCACTGAGGCGGCAGTCCCCGCCGCCATTTTTTAAAGGAGTCGCAGCCTTTCCGGAGCCAGGCGCCAGTCGACTAGCCAATGCGCATGCGTGAGGCGTTATTCCTGAGGTCATAGAGACGGCCACAGTTGCCCGGGGATAGGTTCCTGAGACTGGGCAAAGGAGGAGCCCTGTGTATCGGTGCGTCAGGTGGGGGCTCAGACCACTCCTCGCCAGGACGTCACAGTATAGTCTCTGAAGGCCAGAATTCGCGGAGGGTCGACCAGGAGTTTGAAAGCTGAGGCCGATCTCCGGGGAAGCAGCGCAGAATCCCAGCCTCAGGCCTGCACTGTCGGAATACAGGTGAGTCTCCCCAAATGTCGTGCCCTTGTCATCTCGAGGACATGTCTGCCTGTGTGCCTGTGGGCTGCTCTCTCACCCGAGGGTTGTAGTAATGGAGAGTAGAACCCCACAGCTTCAGAAGCTGCCGGGGCGGGGGCGGGGAGGCGGCGGGTGTTATTGTGCCACTGCTGTGTGTGTGTGTGTGTGTGTGTGTGTGTGTGTGTGTGTGCATGCGCGCATGTGTATGTCTTTCCCTTATTTCTCTCTTCTTTCCCGCTCTCTCTCCTTCTCTCCGTGTGCATATGTGGGTGCGTGTGTATGTTGGGATACCTGTGCCCTGTGTGCTGGAAGGCGGTTTCCTGCACTGCACTTCACCCTTTCTTTTGGTGAGTCTCTCCTGGCATCTCTGGGTCCTGTGGCCAGTTGTCAGTCGCTTTCCCTGAGGTTCCAATTAAGGGTTGTGAAGGCCTGGGCAACGTGGGGAGTGCGTCAGACCGCAGGGATTTCAATCACCTTTCCATCCTGAGCGGCCTCTTTTTTAGAACCAAGAGATCACACCCCAGTCAAGAACAAAACCCTTACCACACAGCTCACCATCCACCTGCAGAAGGGGTGCCCACCGACCTCAGTGATGATGGTTCTCACTTCTCTCACCTTTGCCCTCATTGAGAAATCTAGCCACAGCTCGACACAGGGATGGACAAGGAATCCAAGGAATCCAGTAAAATGATTTAAGAGCTAAAGGATGAAATACCATTACAAGAAATAACCAAACTGAACTGATAAGGCTGAGAAACTTACTACAAGAATTTCATAATGCAACCAGAAGTATTTTCATTAGAATCGATCAAGCTGTGGAAAGAATCTCAGAGTTGAAAGACTGATGCTTTGAATGAACTCAGACAAAAAAAAAAAAAAAAGAATTCTTAAAAATTGAACAAAACCTCTGAGAAATATGAAATTCCATAAAGAAATCAAATGTACAACTCATTGGTATCCCTGAAAGAAAGCAAAAGAGAGAAAACAACTTAGAAAACATATGTGAGGATATTGTCCATGAAATTTCCCTAATCTTACTAAAGAGGTCAACATTTAAATTCAGAGAACCCCTGTGAAGGCAACCATCCTCAAGACACACAGCCATCAGATTCTCCAAGGCCATCATGAGAGAAAAAATATTGAAGGCAGCTAGAGAGAAGGGGCAGGTTACTACAAGGGAAACCCATCAGCCTAACAGTAGACCTCTCAGCAGAAAACCTGCAAGCCAGAAGGGTTTGGGGGCTATATTAAGCATTTTTAAATAAAAGAAATCCCAACCACTAATTTCGTATACAGCCAAACTAAGCTGCATAAGCAAAGGAGAAATAAAATCCTTTTAGGCAAGCAAATGCTAGGAAAATCTGTTACCATCAGACCTGTCATGCAAGAGGTCTTCAAGGGAAATGAGAGACTGTTCCTGACCTCCGCAAAAACAACACTTCAGTGCATACACCACTGACAATAGAGAGCAGCTACACAAGTCTACATAACAGCCAGCCACAACATAAGGATAGGATCAAATCCACACATATCAATATTCACTTTGAGTGTAAACAGTCTAAATGCCCCACTCAAAAAACAAAGAGTGGAAATTTGGATTAAGAAGCAAAACCAATAGGAAAGGAGGAAGCCAAATTGTCACTATTAGCAGGTGACATGATAGTATATCTAGAAGACCCCATCATCTCAGCTCAAAATCTCCTGAAACTGATAAGCAACTTCAGCAAAGTCTCAAGATACAAAATCAATGTGCAAAAATTACAAGCATTCCTATACACCAATAACAGACTTAAAGAGAGCCAAATCAAGAACGAACTGCCATTCACAATTGCTACAAAGAGAATAAAATACCTAGGAATACAACTAACAAGAAACGTAAAGGACCTCTTCAAGAAGAACTAGAAACCACTGCTCAACAAAAAAAGAGAGGACACAAACAGATGGAGAAACATTCCACATTTATGATTAGGAAGAATCAATATCATGAAAATGGCCATACTGCCCAAAGTAATTTACAGATTCAATGCTATCCGCATCAAGCTACCAATGACCTTCTTCACAGAACTGGAAAAAACTGCCTTAAACTTCATATGGAACCAAACGAGAGCCCGCATAGCCAAGTCAATTCTAAGCAAAAAGAACACAGCGGGAGGCATCACACTACCAGACTTCAAACTATACTACAAGGCTACAGTAATCAAAACAGCATGGTACTGGAACCAAAACAGATATACACCAATGGAACAGAACAGAGGCATCGGAGGCAACACAGCATATCTACAACCACACAATCTTTGATAAACCTGACAGAAACAAGCAATGGGGAAAGGATTCCCTGTTTAATAAATGGTGTTGGGAATACTGGCTAGCTATGTGCAGAAAGCAGAAACTAGACCCCTTCCTGACACCTTACACTAAAATTAACTCCAGATGGATTAAAGACTTAAACATAAGACCTAACACCATAAAAACCCTAGAAGAAAATCTAGGCAAAACCATTCAGGACATAGGAGTAGGCAAGGACTTCATGACCAAAATACCAAAAGCATTGGCAACAAAAGCCACAATAGACGAATGGGACCTAATCAAACTCCACAGCTTCTGCATGGCAAAAGAAACAGTCACTAGAGTGAATTGGCAACCAACAGAATGGGAAAACATTTTTGCAGTTTAGCCATCTGACCAAGGGCTGATATCCAGAATTTACAAAGAACTCAAACAGATTTACAAGAAAAAAACAAACAAGCTTATTCATAAGTGGGCAAAGGATATGAACAGATACTTTACAAAAGACACACATGAGGCCAACAAACATATGAAATAATACTCATCATCGCTGGTCATTAGAGAAATGCAAATCAAAACCACATTGAGATACCATCTCACGCCGGTTAGAATGGTGATCATTAAAAAATCTGGAGACAACAGATGCTGGAAAGGATGTGGAGAAATAGGAACACTTTTACACTGCTGGTGGGAGTGTAAATTAGTTCAACCATTGTGGAAGACAGTGTGGCGATTCCTCAAGGACCTAGAAATAGAAATTCCATTTGACCCAGCAATCCCATTACTGGGTATATATCCAAAGGACTGTAAATTGTTCTACTATAAGGACACATGCACACGAATGTTCATTGCAGCACTGTTTACAATAGCAAAGACCTGGAACCAACTCAAATGCCCATCGATGATAGACTGGACTGGGAAAATGTGGCACATATACACCATGGAATATTATGTAGCCATCAAAAACGATGAGTTCGTGTCCTTCATAGGGACTTGGATGAACCTGGAGAACATCATTCTCAGCAAACTGACACGAGAACAGAAAATGAAATACCGCATGTTCTCACTCATAGGTGGGTTTTGAACAATGAGAACACATGGACACAAGGAGGGGAGCACTACACACTGGTGTCTGTTTGGGGGAATAGGGGAGGGACAGTGGGGGGTGGGGAGCTGGGGAGAGATAGCATGGGGAGAAATGCCAGATATAAGTGAGGGGTAGGAAGGCAGCAAATCGCACTGCCATGTGTGTACCTATGCAACTATCTTGCATGTTCTGCACATGTACCCCAAAACCTAAAATGCAATTAAAAAAAAAAGAAGCAGGCCGGGCACGGTGGCTCAAGCCGGTAATCCCAGCACTTTGGGAGGCCGAGGCGGGTACATCACAAGGTTAAGAGATCGAGATCATCCTGGTCAACATGGTGAAACCCCGTCTCTACTACAAATACAGAAAATTAGCTGCGCATGGTGGCGCATGCCTGTAATCCCAGCTACTCGGTAGGCTGAGGCAGGAGAATTGCCTGAACCCAGGAGGCGGAGGTTGCGGTGAGCCAAGATCACGCCATTGCACTCCAGCCTGGGTAACAAGAGCGAAACTCCGTCTCAAAAAAAAAAAAAAAAAAGGAAGTAAAACCCAATGATACACTGTCTTCAAAAGACCCATCACACATGCAATCGCATTCATAGGCTCAACATAAATAGGTGAAGAAAGGTCTATCAAGAAGAGACTGTTCAAACTTTAAACCAATAGCATCCCCTCTCTTTTTTGTTTTAAACCATTATATAAACTAACAGTGATAAGAAAAGACAAAAAGGGCATTACATTATAATGAATTTTTCACTTCAACAAGAAGACTTAACTGTCTTAAATATATATGCACCCAGCACTGGAGTTCCCCAATTTATAAAACAAGTTTTTAGAGACATATAAGGAGACTTAGAAAACCACAAAATAATAGTGGGAGACTTCAACATCCCACTAATAGTATCAGACCGATCACTGAATTAGAAAACTAACAAGGATATTTGGGATCTAACTCAACACTTGACCAAATGATCTTAACAGATATCTACAGAACACTCCACCCAAAACAACAGAATATACACTCTTGTCATCCACACATGGGAGACTCTAAAACTGAGCACATGCTCAGCTATGAAGCAAATATCAGCAAATTCAATAAAAACAAAATTATGCCAACCACCGTCTCAGACCACAGTGTAATAAAAATAGAAACCAATACCAAGATGTCAAAAAACTATATGATTAGATGGAAATTTAATAATCTGCTTCTGAATGACTTTTGGGCAAACAATATTAAGGCAGAAGTCAAGGAATTCTTTGAAACTAATGGAAACAATGATACAACATACCCAAATCTCTGGGACACAGCTAAAGCAGTGTTAAGAGAAAAGTTTAATGTACCAAACTCGCAAATCAAAAAATTAGAAAGATCTCAAATTAACAACCTAACATCATACCTAGAGGAAATTGGGGGGAAAAAAAACCAACCCAAAAGCTAGCAGAAGAGCTGAACTGAATAAAATTGAGATGCAAGAAAGCATACAAAAGATCAATGGAACTAAAAGTTGATAGACCACTAGCTAAACTAATTTAAAAAAGAGAGAAGACCCAAATAAACACAATCAGAAATGACAAAGAGGACATTACTGCTGACCTCACAGAAATACAA